CTCCGTGCCTTCAAAAGTGCAGTCGGGTGCACGCGGGGTGCATAATGGCGAGCTCTCGCCATTCACTGAACAGATATAGTTCCACCGGCCTGTGCTTGGTGCCCAGACGACAAATTTCCAGTGTTGTAAAAAGGGACTCATCAGTACTAAAGTGGTTAAACCGTTTACGTTGATACGGGGTCAATTCCGAGGTATTTTAACAAATTGGTGTTTTTCACCCCTATTCTACTCTTTCTCTCGCTTCATCTGCCCTTTTTCCCAATTATTTTCCCATAATATTATGGATATGGGTTTGGGGCAAAGATCACTCCCCCCCTTTCTCCGCGATGCCTTTGTCGGTCCATTAAAATTGTCTGTGAAGCGAAAGAAATCAGCAAGGAAATCTGAGATTTTGATTTATCTGGGTAAGTATTTTTTTAATATCTCCAGAGTTTAGCTTGCAAGTTGTCCCAAAACAAAGTAATAAGACAAGAGACGATATTTTTCTTTTTTCTATTCTTTGTCTCATTTGTCACTTGTTTCTACCAGCCGTGGAGCCAGAGGGGAGTGTTGGGATCACCCCTCGACACCTGAAGATCTCAAAATTATTAAAATATTATTCATTACCTATTTGAGTCTGCAACTATCCGAAATAAAAAATCGAACGGGCATAACCACCCTGGAAAAATGCCTGGATCCGCCCTTGCCTACCTTCTTTTTGAAGATAGATCCAAAATCGAGGGGCTAAGAATCGTTGAGGATACACGACTTCTTCAAAGAGTTGCATTACTAAGTCTTCTCCCAGCTTGACGCACTTTTTCCTTGGCCTCGGCTCATGGTATTATTTTGCTAAGCCTTTGATAGCATTGGTCACCCCACTAGACTCATGCAACAGGACACGCCCCTCTCATTAAAGCCTCGCATCTTCCGTTACCATCAACATAAGTGATCATAAACCATAAGCTTACCAAGCCACTGAGGACATCATGTAGTCGTAACATCAGACCGGTGATAGTTGCAAAACGGAGACTTTTCTCTGAAACGCGCATCGAAGCAGTGGGAGACAAGGCAATTAGGGTACGGTGTAACCAGTAAATTGCTCTTTGGAGAAAGGACATTAATTCTGCAGGTATTGGGCGCATGTGAAATCCACGCTTGGCTTATTCATTATGATGGAACACAGAATATGAAATTGAGCTATATTAATTAACTTTTATTGTCAGCACGAGAGCCATCACGAGCCTGTGGAACGAAGATAGCCCGGTGGATGTAGTAGTTTTGTTCAAATTGAGAGGACAGCCTTCATTATACCTTTGGTTTATTGCCAATTTGCACGGGAAAAAGTTCTTTACCAAGGTCTTTTTCAATAGGGCGGTAATAGAAAGCTTGAAATTTTGTGTTGCTTTTTTAGAGTAACTCTTCGCAGTCATTTTGACACCAGTTTTTAGAGAATCAAACAATACTTTTCTTGCGCAGTAGCCATTTTGGCAAGGCAGAACAGCCCAAAATGTATTACTTGCATATAATGTGCACTGACCAACAAATGACAGAAAAGCATGTTCATGCTTTCATCTCTTACCGCCTCGATTTCTGCAATAGTCTATTACACCGTATTCCTGATTCTCAAACTTCAGCGCATTTGGAATTCTGCCGCCAGACTTGTTACACGTTCATCATCTAGGCAACATGTAATTCCTATTCCTTGCACTCTTCACTGGCTACCAGTCAATGAGCGAATTGCTTTCAAAATTCTACTCCTCACTCACAAATGCATCCATGGCTCAGCACCAGCATACCTCCGTCNAACTTATTCAAGTATACCAGCCACAACGCACCCTCCGTTCTAGCTCAACATTGCTGCTCGATACACCGATCACTCGCTCTAAGACTTATGGACATAATTCCTTCCTGCATGCATCACCATCACTTTGGAACTCTCTTCCTCGTCATATCAGAATTATCAATAGCGAAAATGAATTTAAAGCCGTTCTCAAAGCATACTTGTTCCGTTGATTGTTCTTAATTGTTGTTTCTTGTAAAGCGCATCGAGACCTTGATGTGATGCACTGTATAAAAACTATTATTATTATTAATGTGCACTGCGGATCTCAATCACACGCGGCCTGGCACACATACACCGGTGAACTTCACGACTGCAACAACAGAACCACACCCTTGACTGAGAACAGACTTTACATTTGTTGTCATGAGGAATGTCTTTACAGCTGAGTTCTTTGGGCAGTATGCCCCCTTATACTGTAAAGTGGGCCAAAATAACCCGGCTATATTATTTGGGGGTTTCTGTGATAGGAAACGGGCGAATGGTGAGCGTGCGCGTTGCTGTAGGAAGGGATCGATCTTTTACTGCTTCGTTCTCGTGCATAGCAAATGAAACCTTGGCCTGTGCAGTGAACAACTAAAAAACTGACGAAAGACAGAGTATATTGAATGAAACACCTCTTATCATGCACAATGATGCTAATATTAAGTTGATTATTTAAAACAATTTCCAACAAAACAACACTTTAAAACAATAAATAAATGAGTGAAAAGTGAGTAAACGCGAAAAAGATAAATTGTTCCGAATAAATCAATTAAATAAAGAGGCAAATAATAGATGCAACAACATGAAATTATTTACAACGAGAGGGAAAACAAAAAAAGGCATTTTTATAGACATATTATTCAGAAAGCGGAATTGTATAGAATGAAAAAGTTGTACAAGGAAGCTATTAAAAGTATGCCTTGTTCGAAAAGATCAGTTTAATACAAGCATGAGAAGGGCCAAACATGCAACATAACGTACACAAAATATATGTTTAAAAAGGAATCAAAATCATCAAAACAACAAAAATTTAAAAGGTTAATCATAAATATTTCGAATAACAATGCTAGAATATAAAAGAAATCCATCAAATATAAATGTACGTGAGTCACATCCACCAGCAGTACTTAAATCAAAGATACACGACGTGCGTGCAACACGTGCAATTTATGGTTCATGAGATTTGCAGAGATTCCCCAATACATTAAGCTTAACAGGGTTGTTCAACCTTTGCCAACTCAATCAGATTTACTGTCGGATCAGTTCACACCAGTATTTAATCAAGCTTCCTCCGAACTTCTGAAAGTTGGGAAGCTGATTCAGTGAGGGGATTCTCTTTTGAAGATAGTTTTATCCATTATTATCATTGAATAATTGCCCGTCATGTTTTGCTTTTAATGAATTACCCCATCTTGGATGATGGACGATAAAATGCTTTAAATATTACCGCGCTCTAAAAATTGAAATGACGTGTGTTTACGTTCGTTTGAGCTATGATGATCCATGCGTGTGCATTCAAATTTGTAGCTGTGGTGCAGGAAGCGTACATACCCCAGGTTTTTGCCAGTCGCAAGATATATCGTTCCATTGACCGGCGAGTTTTGAGGAGACTGCAGCACAGTTTTCCCCGTTTGTATTGTGAAAGAAAGAATTATCCGGTTGATTGGTGTCCCAGTTCCTGGAGGTCACGTTTTCGGTTCCTTCCTGGCATACCCAGGAACCTTAAAAATAAAAAGAGGAAATTCTTTTGTAACAACTGTTTCTACTAAAGACATTATCTGAAAACATGAAGTATCAATCTTCTTGAAGTATGACGTATGTGCACACATCAACTAAAATTGCCAATGGTGCTATTGCTATATTCGGAATAACACCTTTCGTTTGAAAACTTTTAAAATTCATATGATGAGCTCTATTTGATGTTGCAGTTATAAAAAAAACACTCTGTTTCTGTTTCTTCCATTTGGAGATACATTCCACTCGGCTCAGCCCCCCCCAAAAGAATATTAAATACAACAAAAGAAAACAAACATTAAAAAATGGGGCTTGACTGAGGTACAAACTTATGTACTATGGTACTTCATTCCTCTAACCAGTGTTTAGAATTTACATATTCGTTAAAGCTTTGCGGTCTCACATATACCGGGAGATCGCTGCATCTAAGCCCCTTAAAGTCCCGAATCTGCCGAACAACGATCGTGTAAAGGCCGGTTCATATTTATTAATTTATGGCGTCAGATCAAATATTCGCACTGGAAATTCGCAAAATTTGAACACGTCAAACTTGAGCAAAAATTTGCTGCCAATATGTCGCGAGGTCAAATTCGCTCCACTTTCCTATTCGCCTGCAGGAATCGGCCTTTAAGGAAAAGCAAAAGCAAAAGCTGAATTTGCTTTAGTGTCAAGGATGAAGCCATGATCAAACCTTCTAAATTCAGCTAACACCTTCCATTACATCACATCACAGATAGGGTGGCCTATCTGTCAACATTGGTATACCTCTAAATGTAAGTGGGTATATTTGATGGGTTGTCTTTTGACGTCACAGGTTTGTTTTTCCTACAGGTGGCTTCTAAAACTATGGTTGGCTGTCAGTCCAAATGTAAAAGAATAATTTACTAAGTATTACAAATCCCACGCGGCTTTCAGAACAACAGATAAATAATATGCTTACCACTAAATACTAAAAAATATACAAACCTATATAAAATCTACGAGACAAATGTCCCTTTTGAACAAATTGGGGGTAAAATAAAAAAAAAAACCAAAAGGTGATATTTCTGCAAACTTTATAAGTTGTATAGGCAAACTGAGAGTGGTCTGTACAACAGCATGCTGAAATTCAGTTCTTACCTTCTTTTTGACGATCATTGCAGTCAATCCAAAACTGCTCGCCAAAGCGGCTCTGAAGAATCAGGGTTACGTCTTCAGACCGAGGCACGACTAAGGCACCTCCCATTTGGATACACTGTTGTTTCGCCTCAGCCCACTTGAGTTCTGCGGTGGCTTTGTAACATTTATCATCCCACCGGCTCCAAGATGGAGGGCAGATTCCGCTGAGGGATACTGCGCATTCCGTATGCGCGACGGCATTGCAGTTTGTACACAACAAACTTATGATCAAGCTAGAAACAATCACTTTCTTCATCATCTTCTTTTGACAGAAGGTACCAAACCTGTGTCCGTAAGCATCAATGACTAATAAAGGAGTGGGGTTCTCTGGCGTCCACTGTGCTAACATCGACCTTCACGCTAAATTCAAGCATCATTATTGCCATGGTAACAGTAACAAGGAGCCACCCCTCTGTTATTAAGTAGCTCAACTGAACTGTTTGACAATAATTAGGCACAAAATCTCCATAATATCACGAAGACACAGGGATATTAACTAGAGAAGCTTGACAGAAACTGTTGACGTACATGTAATGTACGGGATACTTTTTAAAATGCGTTTGTGCTGCTGATGTACTATGTTCAGGTGAGACTGCTGCGAAGCTTAGGTAAAGAGACTGCACAGAATGAGGACCAAGGTAATAAAAAAAAACCACTCCCCATTACATTCATGTACATTGCATTTGATTTTGTTTGTCATTGTTAAATAAATTATGTTTCCTTTCCTCAATAATTCCGTTCTCAAGAATTGTTTTTACAATAGCCTATGCAACAGAAAGCAAACTCTCAGTCACATCATCAATACAATTCCTTCAAAATAGACCCGCACTCCCTTAGGCTTGAAGTCACTCCGAGTGGTCTCTCATTCCAGGTAGAACCTTAGGTAAAGAAGATTGTTACTGCCTCAAAAATTGCTGGATTTTATAACTGACAATAACAGGGTATAGGCCCAGGGATGCCTGCCACAGTGCGCACGCACAATTAATCGCTGCCCTGGCACACAGGCAATTACAAGAATAAAATAAATTTTCATCGGCATTTGTACACTTAATGGGTGATAGTGTAATGACAGTTGAATTATTTATGAGGTATAAACAGAAACATGGTTCATTTTTAAGTGGATAGTCCATGTTAACTTTGCTAGGTACTGAAATTTAGTAACACAGTGACTGGCAGTGAGATAACTGGGCCACGTCTATGAGCCCTAGGAGTGTGTGAGTGACCAGAAAGAGCCCTAGGCCTATATCGCAAAATCGAAGGCTGAGGAAAAATATGACCCTCTTTCGTTCATTCACAGTCCCGAAGGGGCGCAGACATGTACTAAAGACCAATTTATACCACTCAGTATGTGATTATTAACACACCTCTGTCCAGAATACGAAAAAAAAATTCCAGGATTTCAAAACTGATGGCGCTCTGGTTGAAGCCGTTTGAGTGTAGTGCACATGGTAGAGCCCAATCGGAAACTTTGGAAAATAATTGGCATTCAGGTATTGTTAACGCGCGTCTAATTAACACTGACATTATTTTTATACACTAATCTATTATTAGTGAACCCCAAGTTACATTCTTTAGCTTGTTGAGATAGAGAACAAGCAAGGAGAGTGTTACAGTAAACAAAATTTTAAATATGGACCGGTAATGAGGTCGTTAGTGCACGTGCTGCACCTTGAGTCTAAATACCACAAGAGGGCCCTATTTCCCGAGGCCGAAAGCGTAAGTGGGAGAGGGTTTTGGTCACCCCCTCAAGCGCTTACAATGTCTTGACGCGCATGCATCCAGGTAACGCTGATGTAAACGTGGCGTACAGCTAGCATTTCTATAGTCCTCTCCCATTTTTCTCCCTTTTCAAACGCTAATGAGTGCATTTGTTGGAAAGGCCGAAAGTTTCGTCAAAATCTCCCTTCATTTTTTCTCACCACGCCTGAAAAGTGTGTGTATGGGGGAGGACTCAATGGCCCATCCTCCCTGCTCAATTTAAAAAACTAAAAAAGATCCATCCTCCAGGAATTACTTGCTCCTAGCATCAAGACATCAAGCGTAACGGCGGAGTAATTTCCGGAGTACAGTGCCTGGTCGGGCATTACGCTTCATTGTTTGACTGGCATAGCGCCTTCACATGCTGAAAGCAGTGAGCAGCAACTAAAAAATGACTCTAATAGGGAATCTAAAACCGTCAATGGTTGAATTACAGTTCAGTTATCAAAACCCTGAAACTAAAACTGTATGCATCTTTTACATTTTAGAAAGAGGTGTGATACAAAGCACACATGGACTGGCATAATTCGATTACTTGCACTTGTTCAGACCCCACTCAGGCCTGTGAATGACCAGAAAGGGTCCAAATGTTTTCCTTCTCTAATTTCTGAGCATGAGGGGGACATGGACCTAGGGGTGCCCCCGTGCCCCCATTAATTACGTAACTGTTCAAAATTTAATTTTGAATTAAATGTAATCAACTTACAGTTGACACAAAAGAGGAGCTGTGGTGTTGAATAGATTTTTAAGATATAAAGATCAAATGAACTAAAGACAGGTGATGACCTAGTGTTACAAATAGAGGGACAGAAACAAGTAATATTCGACACTGTCATTTCTGTACTCCTAAAGAATAAAGGGTGGTTTCCTAAACTTCCCTGTTCAATAAAACAATGAGAGTTGTTTTATATGTCATCAGCAAGCTCACAAATTGTAAAGTATTCAACCAAGACAAAATAAGATTAGCAACAACAAATTACTATTTTATAAAGGGAAAATTATGCTTGAAAAAATGATGCTACGATTTGTTCCAGAGAGCTAGCTATTTTCTGACTGTTTCAATCAGAGCGTCAGAACGCGTACAGTATAGAATTGCGCCCTCTTTTGTGCGTAAACAACTGAAGCGCTTTGATTGGTTAATAGTTTTCTAAGCAATTAAAAACTCAGACAAAAGGTGGCGCTTTACTGATGTTTACATTCTGTACGACAAGCTCAGAGCACAGACGAAGTTCTGCTAAGTTTTAACCCAAAGAAACGTCGAAGAAGGTATTTTTTAAACAGATCTACTTATAGAAAAGTGTGATACTTCGATATGCCCTTGAGATGCAGTTTGTTTTAGGAATTCCTGGTGAATAAGAATTTTAAAAGAACGTTAGCTTGGTAGTCAAATCCTCTGACGGAGTGGGTGGTTCAAGTACAGAGCATGTGTATTGTGTTGAAAGCGATTGGGGTGACTTGATGCAGTTATTGTTTAGACGGGGTCATAACGCTATGTGATTTTTGAATGGAGCTTTTGGGGTAAACGTAAATAATCCTTTTACGCTAATTCTGTCTGTTCAATCAGGTTTTCCTGTGAGAGCAACCGTGACGTAGGCCTACCCTTCTGGGTTTTGAAACATGAGAGTTGAGACTGTGATTTTTTGAAAAATCAGGATTTTTTACACACCAATCTCTTGTTTCCACCCACTGATGATTGCACTGTTTACTGCTGACCACAATACGCATATATTTGGCCAGTGGTCAAGCGTACTTCACATGTCTGTCCGACCAGAGGCCCAGCGCATGCGTAATGTAAAACACAAATGGTGTGATTGTCGTTGGATCACACGGAGTACAGTTGGTGAATCACTCAAGTGTTTGTTTGCCATAGAACTTCACATTTTATTCAGTAAGCAGCCCGGCTAAGCTTCATCATTTCTGTCACTTTCTATTACAGGCTGCTTTCTGTTCTTAAAATTATTTAAAGATACGGTTCTGTTTGACATGTAATACATCAATAAAATTTTTGTCACCTTTTTAGGGGGGTGAGAACAAATGGGACAGCTTCTCATTGAAATCATAATTTTTACTAAGTTTTGTCTGTACTCTAAAATGTAGATAATCCTTAAAGAAAATCACAGCTTGCTCGGCTGGGAGTGGACCCCACAACTTCCTCCTTTACTAGTGCATGCATCCTCATGCAAACACCACATTAACGCCAATGATAAAATAGTGTTTACTCTATATGTCTATTAATTTATTCAGGATTTCTTTTTTCAAAACAATTGGAGGGGCATGGTTATTTCCTGCCTTCAAATTACACAACCACTGAAATGTGTATAAATAGAAATGCTAACCATAGGTTCATGCAGTCAAATTGTGAGGTCAGATCAAGTTGAACATATTTCAACTGAATCACATATTACTGCAAAGGTTTCATTTCATTTTTGCTTTGTTGTCACACTCACTTGAAGTATGAACCGTCTTTAAGTCAGCTGACGGTTGTTCTGAAGGTTCTACCAGGGATGAGCACAGAAAGTGGTCCTCGCATTGTGAAGCTATGTGCTGCAACAAACAATAGCAGCACTGATGATATGGCATCTACAACATCCACTACGACTGACGGTGACAATGACCCTCCGACCTTTGACCGTTGGTGCCGCACCGGGACCTCCTCCCCTCGAGATGACACAGACCACACCTCCCTGGTGGTGGAAGCCTCCAGTTCCTCTCGTTCTTTGGGTGACCTGCCTCGCGGGTGCGCCCTGACGATGGACCTACCCAATATCCTGGGTCCCTTGTCCCCACCCAGTGGCTCCGCGGTTCCCCTCCTGAACTTCATGGAAGAGTCTGCCACTGAATTGAGCCAAATGCAAGGAAAGATTGTTCAGGATGATTCCAGGGTGCATGGCAAGGGAAAAACCACAGACAAGAAAAGTGATGGCTCATCTAGTATGGAGCTCAGTGCATCCTCTTCAAACCAAATGGAGATTCTGAACAGTCTGCAGGTAAACAAGAGCTGAAGATCTAAATCTACATTATAGATTGCTGTGAAGTTGAAGGTTGTTGCAAGCCTGCATTGTCTCTAAAGATATACACCGTGTGACATTGTATAATTTTCTTGTGCGGCAATGTTTGAAAGCCTGTAGGATCATTCTTCAAAAATACAGGAATTGAAACAAAATACAATCTTCAGAAAACTTTGACTGGCTTAGTGTGAGAATTTTAAAGCTTTGTAAATTTTATGCATAATTTATAAGAATCAGAATCTTTCTAGTGTGTGGCTTGTACATGTTTGTTACAGAGATACAGTGTGAAAACAGAAAGGAAAGCAAAGCACATTCAAAGACAGCTTTTTCTCATCAAAATAGTGTCACGCGAGATGAGGAATTCCAGAACGTAAATGTAACATTGAAAACTTTCGACTTGGCAGATTTGAAAGCTTGTGGTGGTTCCTTTTTAAACACGATGTGAGACAAGCAAAACATTGTCCTCATTCTGTATGTTGGAGGACGCTGACCAAAATGTCTAAACGTTTGATCAAACATGGGAAGAGTCTGTTTTGAATGGGATCGATTTGGACTTCATCAGGCTGAGCTGGAGGAAACCAGGGCAGCCCTAGAACTGACCGAGAAGCAGCTGACGGAGAAGATGGAGCAGAACGACGAGGCAGCAGAGGAGATTGACAAAGCCTGGAGGATGGTCCGAGAGCTACAGACAGGCGGGATTGACCCGACCCAGCCAGGTCAAAAGGTCAGAGAGCTAACTACAATGAGAGTTCTTGTGCTAAAGATATCAAAACAGACTGAGTATAATCATTTAATAGAAAAGACACATACACATTTAAAAGGATTACGCTAAATTGAGTGATTTCACAATGAATAACTGAAAAGTTTAAAGTGAGGTGATCTCATGACATGCAATGACCAATGACATGCACTGAAAACAAATTATCGTTGTAGTCCAGTACTTTTGAAATACTATTCTCTGCTAAATTCTTAGCTAGTTTGGAGGGAACAATGTTGAACAACATTGGCATTTGATGGTAGATGCACGATAAAATGATGTTTTTATGATGAAAGTACAGAAAAATTACTTGGCCAAGTAATTTTCTTCTTAAAAATTAAATTTTACAAAATTGGGAGTGTCTGAAGTCTTCAAATTTTTTTGTTAACTTACCTTTCTGCATTTTCATCCAGTGCACATGTTTGTCATTTTTTCTTCCCTCCTGACCAGTTGAGATTCTTGGTAGTACTCAAAAGTACTAAACTACAGCACGTTGCTAGTTCGTATGTGACCGGCTCTAGCAAAATGGGTAATAAGTCGCCAGATTCAGGCTGTGAGTTTTTGATATGGCTGGATTCTGTACATCAAAAGCTACTATTTGATATATGAATGACCCCTGTAGTGCGCTGCGTCAGATTTATAGAGATTTCAATATCCACATTTTTGGATTCAATAAAAGCACTTTTCGAGAAAAAGCTCATTAAGTGTAGCCCTTGGAAACACAATGCTACATAGGATTTCCTACTGAATGATCAATTTTTCATATTTATTCATCAGTATCTATGTTTGTAGTCACAAATTCTGAAAATATAAATATTATTGTAGCTATTAAAGGAAAAAACACAAAATCACATTTTTGAAGAAATTTTGCCCTCTCCAAAAAGAACAGGCATTTACGTGTTTTGACATTAATTGCAAGACTTATCAAAGTTACCCTTTTTGGCAGAGCGGGGCACATATGCTGCGTAGCCTACTTTTCCAATGTTAAGATGGGGAAGGGGACGATAGGGGGGGGGAAATGAACTTCCACTGAGGACTCTCCAGATTACTTCAGTGACATTTGGTCCCAAACAGTGTTCTGTAAATCTTTGAAGAGCCCACAGTGGCCAATCTTGATTTTACAAAACACAAGTATGGATATGTCCACTGAGCAATTCCACTACACTGTGTGTGTCTTGAAATTTGTTTGAAACATTTGCCATCCACATTTCTGTCAATTCAAGCAGCACTCCGGGTTATTGCTGCACATCCTCCACAAGGTGGGATTGGAGGGCGGGCCCGAGAGTGCCTGGCTGAGCCAAGAGGGCCTCCAGAGGGCGCTCATCCATCTGTACATGACCAGGGAAGATGCGATCACGGAGAAGAAGCTTGCCCAGGACCAGCATAAGGTATGAGCCCTAACTGACCAAGAACAAAAGGGAATGTGAGGCAGGCTGTCAATGTGAGACAGAGTGTGCCGGGGTTGAACAACAAAATTGGGATTTTTGGGGGTACGGCAGAAAAGGGAATAAGATTCTCTTATTGCATTTCAGTTTAACATTCCACTGACAAGTTACGCAGTTTTTTAAAATTCAAAATCATCAAAATGTGACAAGAAGTAACTGTAAAATACTGAGAAAATGTATTTAACGTTTTTTTGGTGAAAATGAAAGATTTTTGTGAAAAAACAAAACGGTGAATGGGCCTAATCTAGTATCCCAATATTGTGAGTTCAGTCGAAGTGCCTTCATTCAAAAGTTCTTTGTCCAATGCCGTTGATTGATAAACAGAGATGGGGTACTGTTGCATTGACCATAAGCATACATGAGGTCATGGCTATGAGTGCGTTACACTGCCATTTTTAATGGACTATATTTTTATGTGAAATATTTTTTTCTTGAAGGAAACATCCAAACGATACCAGTCCCTGCAAGGTAAAATCCAGTGTGTCACCAACAGCTTGCAAGCTTTGCTAGGCAAGCCACAAGAGAACGGGGCCTTGACCTTTGACCTGGAGGTCGACCATGAGGATGAAGCAACAGACAGGGAAGAGCTGTGCTTCGCTTTGCTTGGTATGTCAATTGAGAGAAAAAAAATCATCGACCGTCCCAGATAGAACAATTGTAACATGTTTTCTTCATGAAGGCACTCAAAATCTCACCACTGTGGGTCAGTTTTGCCAAATTCTGATGTTGATTTCAACATATTGCATGACGAAATGCATTGTGCAAGGTGGTGATACTTTACCATTTTTTGGTACAAAGCACTTGAACACATTTGACATCAAGAACGATTGCAACATTCGGTACATCTGTCGCCATCGGCTCAACCACGTTTAAATGTATTCATTGTTCCATGCTTAATGTCTTCATTATACAACGCATTTGAACATACCTACATGAAATTTGCACTTTATAACTGAATAAATTATTGTTATTATTCAGAACCAGTTGTGTTTGTTTACAATCCATTTACTGTTTTATGACTGAAGCTAATTGTTGCTATAGATTAGTTCATTAAGGTCATTTATATAAAGAACATTTACTTATTTGAAAAAACCCGAAGGTTCTTTTCAAATACGTAAATGTTTGATCCATCTCTTAATTGAATGGAAGGTTACTGAATTATTCGAGTTTACAGAGCCTTAATTTGTGCTTCAGTAAGAAAGAAGGGTTTTCTTGCCGTCAGAAAAGTTTTTGCTTGCTTTAAAAAAACCAATTATGCAGTTTAATTTAACAGACTCCATCTTTTAATTAGGCCTTTAAGAAATAATGCTAAGAAGAAATCGAAAGTCGTCACTTTTAACTATGTAATGATTTATTTGAATGTAACATCAGATTGAAGGAAATATCAAAATTAAGAACCATGAATACCCCCTTGCAACAGTGAATCTTACTCAAGGGTAGTCTTGTGAATATTCAATCACACATGTGATAATTTTCCCAATGAAACCTTATTAGTAAGCATCTCTGGTAACGAAATTCAAGGACTCCTCACAAGTGCCCCAGGCACTGTGGCTCGCAAACCTGAAGAAACCTGTAGAGAGGAGACAATGAGAAGCAGTTACAGCTTTAGAGAGAGGAATATTTTGGGTATTAAAACCCATAAAGTTATAGGTACGGACTGAAACCCAATCTACATGTGAAGTAGACCAAGCCAGGAATGGACCCAGATTCCGCAGGAGTTGAAAGGCCAAGAAAGAAACCCGACGATCAAACTCCGCGTTTGTTTTCTTCCCAGAGAGGCTGAAGGCCAAGCTGCACTCCCAGGACTTACAGGAAACCCGCTGGCGGATGGTGACGGCCCAGCTACGCCGAGAGCTAGAGCAATCCAGGCAGCGCTGCGAGGCCAAGATGGACACCCTCCAGCAGGTGCAGGAAGAGTGCCGGGGATGGAAGGAGGAGGCAGAGTCAGAGAAAGCCAAAGGGCGGAAACAAGATCAGCTAATCAAGGCACTGACAGTCAAGGTGAGTTGTCTTGATCAGGCCAATTAATTTCTGTGACTCAATAAAGTCTGAGCCCAAATGAAAGCAGCATTTTTTAAAAGTTGCTTCACAATATTGTTTTCATTATCGTGAAACATTACACTAGAAAACACCGCATTCCACTGCCTCTGCAAAAACATTTCTGTGAGGTTAAAGCTTACCACCAGAAGTTGCCCATTTGTGTTACTCTTGACTAGCTTATCACAATGTCTATCACAATTTCAACAAAACCCTTAACGGATGTTGCTTAGAACCCACAAACTGCTTACATGTTTGACTTCAACCTGTCTGCAGATGTCCGAATGCAACAAAGAGACGGAAAGATCTCAGCAAGTCCACACTGAGCTGGAGGGTCGCATCTCCAAACTGTCAGAGCAGCTCCACAAAACCATCAAGGAGCATGAACAAAACGTCAGATGCCAGCAGAAGGTCACAGATCAGTCGTTCACTAATATGTAGACCCTTTCCTATAACCAACATTTTATAGGCATTGCAGAAATGTGGCCTATATATATACCCCCATACATGATAGTCATCGCTGACCAAATCGTCATCAGACAGAAATGTGCTATATGCAACCAGTGAGTTTGTTTTCATGGAGCAGAAATTTCAGTCTACATCAATGCGACTGCATTCTGCATCTCATTGTGCGGTTGGCTCTTTAAAGTTCAATTATAAAGAGGAATATTCTTTGTGGCTCTAGAGAGGCCTGTGTACCACAGAAACGGTGGTGAGGGTTGGTTCAGGAAAACATGAGGCAGAAATGTTGATCAAATTTCAATCTCTGATTGTACCTGACATGAAAAGGAAATTTGTGAATGGGAAAACAGTGTGATTGACTGGTATTTGCTTAAATTTAAGAGAAGGGACCTGGCTAGCATCCCTAGGCCCCTGTCCAGTGTTAAACATACCAGTTTAGAATTGCCTAATCACATTTAAGCTCTGAGCGTAATGCAGTTGTGACTCTTAGATTAAGTTGACGTTTGGTTTTTAATTCAATCTAGGCGAATTCACTGGAGGAACAACTGAAAATTGCCAAAACCACCTGCAATGAATTGTGGGAACAACAGCAAAAGATTGCCTGCCAGCTATCCGCCAAGACAGTAGAGCTGGAGCAGCTTCGATCCAACGGGGTGAGAAATCCATGGGCTCATTTTATGAAAGACTGTTTAAGGTAATCTGCTTCGAGCAGAAGCACTCCCTTATGGGTTGAAAAGAGCCGTGTTAGCCAGGAGTGCTCATTTTGTTGGTAGCATTTGCGACCGTAACACGTGCATTTTTCTTGTTCGATCTCCTTTCCTCTACTAAGGATTTTACTTCATATAGTCATGTCCATAGACAAAACTAGAGTCTCATTCGTTCATTCAGTAGAAAAAAATTAGCGAATTGATGTTTAAAATATGAGCAATTCACAATATAGTGTACGATCCAGAGGTTACCCTGGAAAGGCCTTTTTTGCAGTGCATTGTAGAAAATGGTAGACTAATGCTATTTGTTGGCTGCACTTGGGAAAGTTAAACTATTTCAAATGACTGTTTGCCAGGGGAAAAGGTTTGTCGGTTTGCTTTAAGCACGAGTAGTAGTTTTTTATTAATCCTTGCTTTTTCTTTTGCGGCGAAAAAAGTTCCAATCTATCAAAAAAAGTCATTTAAATGTACTGATTACGCTCAAAGGCATATGAAGGAAAGGTGGCCAAGCTTTGCAGACCATAAACTGGAAACAGTGACCTCTATGTAGCAACCTCTTGGTGGTATACTGCATTGCGAATCACTCCTGTCATTCCATATTCTCTTGATGAAAGAGTTCAGGTGTATTTAAGCCACTCTAGAATTTACAGCCAGGGAACTTCATGGCATTTCATTTGCAGTCAAATGGCACAGACAGGGTCCAAGCCAACTGTCCGATGAGCAAACCATCCACAATCCACGATCCACTGATCAGCAGCAACGCAATGGAGGACATCCACCAGCAGTTTGACAGGCACACGGCCTTAGCAGAAGAACTGGAAGCGGAACTGCAGAAATCCTATCAATTAAGGAACACCAGACTAGCTAGTATAGAGGTACATTCAATTGCAATCAGTAACATTCTATTGCCTCTTCTTGAGAGCTGTAATTAAACGTTGTCATTCATAGGAAGCAGGGAGAGAGATTTTAAAGAGAGATTTTGAAGAAAATCTTATTTTGGTTCTTTTACTGCAACTGTAGTGATTGACAAAAGACTGTAAGGGGAGGCCATTTTCAATTTCACAGTGCATTGCGGGAAAATGTTTACATATTAAAATGAAATCTTCTGTTTTAATGAGAAATCGGCATCTTTTCAGTAGGCGAGTGAGCTCGCTTGGATTTTGTCTTGTGTGAAAACTTTAGGTTTTGTGCTTTTGGGGTTTTGTTTTGGAAGCAAGTATCCACAGCTTAACAGCCTGTAAATTATTACAGAATGTTTCAAAAATAGGATCAGCATTTTTGATTTACGCCATGAAGCAGAGGTTTTGAGGTTTACACAAAGAGATTGGATAAGCACACTTAACTGTTTTGACAATACGAATGATGTTGGAAGACTTTACAGTACTTAAGTTCTCGTTTTCATAAGACAAAAAGTCATTTTAAATCAGTAAGTCAACCAGAAATGCTGATAGATTTAAGCTGATTTACATCAACATTAGTACATGAAATAAACATTTGTAGCATAAGGCTTTCACATAAGGTTTTCACACAATAATAACATTTTATTGTGCTAAGGAAAATTAAAAAATTGATAACAAGAAAAGCCTAAACATACGTAGTTAGGAGAGCCAAGCTTGACCTTAAACATATCAATATTTGAAATTTCTGACAAAAAGTGTATGGAATTGAAATATACACATTTGTGACCCATTCACTACAGGCAACATGTCTGAAAGAAAGGGTAGAATTGTCCAAGGAACGTGAGGCTTTCAGGGAAGGACAAAAGCAGCAGGAGATGACTCGGCAAAAGTTGGATGAGGAAAGACGATTGCAGGACGAACGTGTTCAGAAAATGACCCAATCTGTAAGCCAGCTGTTCTAGCCCTGTGGGCACATTTGTCGGAATTGAACAGTGCCCTGACTTGGCT